TTCTTTTGGAGTTCTTTCTTTATGCATATTTCGAACCAAATTAAGAACAATCATTTTTTTTCTTTCAAAAACTGATTAGATTGAGGTGTATAAGGCATGGTGTACTGAGGTATAATTCTATTATCTTTACATTAACCTTCAAATTTATTTGACATGTATTCACCTCCTCATTTGTAATTAAACATTTTAGCTTATAGCTATTTTGTATCTCAATCGAGTTCTTAAACTCTTTAAATTTATTAAACACTTCTTTTTTAAAATAATTAAATCTAAGTTTTACCATTATAATTATCTATGAAGGTAAGAAAATACCTATTTCTATCACTTAGACGTAGGAATGATAGGACTACATACATCCGAGTGCATTAAGTCAAGCTATTGCCTTGGTGTTTTTAGTTGTATCATTTTGAACGATCTCCTATGTTGCTCATACTTCACAAAACTTTATTGGATGCTCAATTTTTGGTAAACTTTGCAACATATTATTATTCTTCAAAAGCTTCGAAGCCTTAAAATTTAAGTACCCATATCTAAGATGTCTTAGTATAAAATCGTTCATAATACTAACATTTTAATAATTTATTCTGTTAGTATCCAATTGTAGAAGAAACATATTATTCTTAGTATTTTCAAATGAGAGATTAAAGTCTTGTTCTTTTCATGAATAAAAAAAGATAAATCTTTTAATTCAATATGATATCCTTTCTCAAGCAACTGGCTTAAGCTAATAATATTATTTTTCATATCAAAAACATAATATACATTTGAAATGTATATTTACTTCTCATTATTGAACTCAAGAAAAATATTATCTTTGGCTCTTATTTGTCTTTATAATAAATTAAAAAAATTAATATTACCATAATAATTCATATTAATTTTGGCAAAGAGTTTCTTATAGTCACTTATATGATTAAAGGTACCTATGTCTATATACCATGTTAGTCATTAGTAAAATCGAATTATCTTTTCTTCTGTATTTGTAAAATTTACATTTTAACATCCATTTTTGGGATTACAGTAGCATTCTCCAACATAGTGGTGAAACTTCTTGTAAATATAACATTCATTTTTGTTATTTTGGGCTTCTTTAGTAGGTTGACCTCTTCCTCATTCCCATGACCTCTACCTCTTTAAGATCTTGGTTCTCCTTTGTTCTCAAGTGTTAGTTTAGTTTATAGAGCTTGTTCCAATGATTTATATTCTCCTCTTCTTATAAGTCTTTGTTCATGTGCTTAAAAAAAACTGATTAGTTATTCTAAATATATTTGTTCTAGGTCTTTGGATTCTTCAATTGCTACGACAATAAAATTAAACTTCAGATCTAAATATCTTAAAATTTTCTCCATTACTCATTGGTCATTTGTTTCTTCACAATTTTTTCTCATTTGATGAATAATAAAAATGACTTTGGAGAAGTAATAAGAGATAGATTCATATGTATCTTATTCATAAACAGAAGAACAGTGCCAGCTGAATCTGGCAGAGAGTCATATTGGATCAATAATACATTACCTTTTCCAAATTAAAGTGTTTGCATCATGTAACACTTGTTTCCTTCCTGATGGAATCAGATAACTTTCTCTAAATGTATACACTGATCTATACATTGTCTGCTAATACCTTTCGAAAAATTTTCAATAACTCATGCAAAAAAGTGTATGTTAATCTTGTTTCGTTTATTTCTGAAATCACCAGATGTGAAAAACTTCAGTGTCAAATTCTTTTGAAAACAAAAGCATTTTCAATATTACTTCCACTCCACATTAGGGAAGAAAGCTGAGAAAATAATGGTTTCTTGAAGGACTTGCTTATAACAAACAAGATGAAAAAGTGAAAATGAGGTGGAAAATTGTCTAGAAATTGATAACTACAGATGAATTTTCAATATATTAGAAAAGAACTAAATATAAATATCCAATAATTTAGAAGTAAAATGTAGCAATGCTATCATTGAAACTGTTCTCTAAACTATTGATGAAAGTATCAGCCCTTGGTGTTATATGGAACTCAATTTCCTTTCTGAAAGCATAGTAGAAAATGATTATGAAGACTTTTGGTTGGGTTTCTCTATTAGATAGTCACAATCACAAATGAAAAATCTGTGATCTTTTTCTTGTTAGCATATCAGTATCAATAAAAGCTAAGATACTTTTCAATTCCATACATCCTAACTAGTAGGGTTGATTACATAATTTTTTTCTCGAAAAATATTTTACATAATATTTGGATATCGAAATTCACTTATTGGTTGTTAGATATGTTTTATTTATTTGAGTGCAAGTCAATTCGAAAAGGTTACTATATATCACAATTCAAAAGCCTATATATATATATATATATATATATATATATATATATATATATATATATATATATATTATCTTACTCATCCAATTCGAATTATTACTATTATTATTATCTCAGTGTCTGTAATCTGCCTATAATATCATAATATTTTTTTTACAAAAAATTAAGTAATTCTCATGATTGAAGCTACCGTGTGATCGAAAAATTTAAGCCATTAGATTATCCTCTCTCACACAGAAATTATATTCCAAAACAGTGACATGGTACCTTATTGGAATTTATATCAAGACCACAAATTGAACACCTACCTGAGGGATCATGCAATGGAACTATCAGCATTTAATTTGGGCCCCTATATTATTGTCGAAATTTGAACAAGGAAATAGCCACCACATGAATTCATGAGGATCTATGAAAACAAAAGTCTTATTACAGCTTCCCTTGCAATATTCATGCGATAAGCTACACATAAAAAGTTTCTCAAATTCAATGTGTTCTATAACGTTTTATTTGAAATTAGCCGATCTCGAAAAGAATTATCTCATCCTTAAGTCAAAGAACATCATTACTAATCGAGAAGTGAAATGAGAGACACTAATGTACTGTGTGTGTGTGTGAAGCACATTTTAATTGGCAAGAATCTAATGAACCTCATCAAGTTTATTGTTTTATGTATGCGTAAGGTTAAGATGCTTTCGAGTCGAAACAAAAACGAGCATGAAATTGAGCTGCACTAGACTTCCTAAATCACAATCGTCGGAAAGAAAAAAAAAAAAAAAAAAAAAACAACATACTCACTTGGGAAGAGGTTAATCAAATCAATCATTTTTCTTTTTTGGGTTATATTCATGCTTTCGAAACCAATCGATTAAGGTAATAAGATAACAAGAAAGGTTAATCGAAATGATGTCGATGCATTTGCAAGTGTGGATGATAATGAATGAGAACTATTTGGATGTTAATTCGACTCATTAAAGACCCATCGATTTGATGCATCCATGTGAGTTGTGATATCAATTCTTGCCGCATGGTATGCCGGAAAAGTTGGTGCCATGGTCCCATAGCTATTAGCAATCTCGATAAGCATGTTGTACTAAGTACAGTGGGACTGCCTCTCCCTTGTCTACTTAGACAACTTGCTGGTCCATCTTACAAATGTGTTCGAGACACCTCTAAATTCCACCGGTTTTCACGGGTAATTCCGAATCGAATCAGAATCTCGATTTCGACTCTTGAAATTTTGAATAGCTAAAAAAAATAAAGCATTTCATATTAAAAGTTTAATGATTTGGATATGAATCTTGATAGAATAATTTAAATTTTTTTATTAATGATTCGATAGTTTTGGAAGTAACGATACCAAAATCAAAATAAGATAATTTGAAGCCGATCGATTTTAAATTTGATAGAATCAAAACCGTCGATTGTGAAACTAAAATTAAATAAATTATAATAGATAATAATAAAAAAAACAAAGACCTTTGAAATAAATATATAGATGATTATATGATATAATCCCAGTTCGGTAAGAATGGGAAGAACAAAGGCCATAAACCAAAGGTGTCGATTCCTCGCGGCTGTGCTCGATGGGTAAACATTATCTTTACTTAAAATGATAAAAGTGTTTGATTGAATCTGACACAGAAACGAGAGTACGATACATAAACTCGTGAGAGTGCGCATTGACACCCAACCAAACAAAAGAGACCAGTCTCGAGGTGCCAAAAAAGAGAGCATCAAATCTACCACGAGCAGTACACCTACCCCCAATTAGGGTCAAGTGTGTGGAATCGGGATCTGAAAAGGCTATGTCACCCACCCACCATTTCCCTAAATTGTAGAGAGTGAAGCCTGGCGTGCACCTCCTCTCGATGGTGGGTAAAAGCTAAAACCATGGAAGGTGGCCAGCAGCTCGAGCTCTTCCTCCTCCTCTGTCCGCAGAGCCTACAGAGAGAGAGAACCAAAGGCTATGGTGGAGACAAAAGCAGAGGTTATACGAAGTGGGCAAGCGTAGGGGTGTGTCCCTTCCTTTACTCCTGCGGGAAACCCAGGAGTGGTCACATCACTTCCCGCACTCAATGGCTCCTCAAGACAGTGACAACTGATGCCGTCCACCTTTTCCCACCTCTTACTTAAATCTCTACTCCTACTGCAAGTGAATCTCTCTCTCTCTCTCTCTCATTCTTCTCGTGATAAATAAATATATATAAATATATATCGATACATGGTTTCTGCAAAATTATATGGCTTGTGGACTCGACATAGGAGATGGATTTGCAGCGGCTAAAACTGGAGGAGAAATGCTCTTCCTGGTTTGGATGCATCTTATCTATAGTAGGAAGAATGATGGAGGGTCATCCATAGATGTTTTAGTCTCCTTTACATCAAGTTTACCACAAGTGATTAAAGTAGCTGGACATATAAGATTTGCATGTATCTCCTTCGATCACTATGCATTCATAGAAAAGATGAATCCATGGACATTTTATATATATATCTTGCTGTCATGAAGTCAGAACAGCTACGGAGCAAGCTAGAGATCGATCGAGCATGCTCATCTTTGACCGGAGTAATAATTTGATGAGCTCAAAAAGACAAGTGAGGTTAATTCTCCTGTCTTAATCATTAACAAAGATGCTAAGCATTCACCATACGTCAAAGATCTCAAGAAAAATAGGCGCCGCATGCCTTTCTGTAGCTGGGTTGGGGTTGGCCGTACGTACCATGAGTGGGGTTCCCCCCGGGCATTATTGCCAGAACAGAACCCTAAGCCATGGTGCACGCCACATCCCTGTGAAGAACTCTTGGACACAGGAGAGCAGACTGCCGCTTCTCTCCCTCTCTTCTCCTTCTTCCTCTTCGATCTCCTTGTACGTACTCATGGATTTGGTCTCTCCCATGGAGCACTTGTGTTACGTGCGTTGCACCTACTGCAACACTGTTCTTGCGGTAATTCCTTCGATGAGTGGAAAAGGGGGAAAACATAGAGCAAACATGATGGTTTTGATGCACAGGAAAAAGCATCTTCTTCAGCTACATGAGCTAATCTGTTGTAGTGTTAATCTTAATGCTATTTCGTATCATATATTTATTTTGCTTCACCTATTTTTCAAAGTAATGTTCATCATCATCATCATCTTTTTTTCTCATACCCTTCTGTTAACTTTGAGAAGATCCGGTTGATGGTACTGCTTTGTTATTCTTCTGTTCGTGTTGATAGTGTTAGTGCTGTTCATGATGCTTTTCTAGGCTTTTTGTTCTGTTAACTTAGGAAATCAAACTTGCATGTAAGATTTGTCCTCCTCCTCTTCTCTAAGAGAGAAAAAGAAGGGATGAATTCTACAAACGGAAAACAGCAATTCAGGGGAGATCAAAACATGTGCATGCATGAGGAAGCCAAAGATGATTTCCTCAGCTGTTGCAGATTTGAGTTCCATGAAATGCAGCTGATCTTGATCTGTGAGCACATACAAAGCCGATAGATAACAGCAAGCCCCCTTCCATGTTTGATCATATTCCACTGTTACGCCGTGCTGAATTGCTTTGTTTCCTCATCACAGCATTATGATAGCATACGCACGACACCCGATCGACTCGACTTCGATATGTACTCCCTTAGCTTTCTCTTAGTGTAATCGAAGATCGATTTCCATCCACTTGAACAGATCTAAAATGGACACCGAATGGAAAATAAGACCTAACAAATGCTTTCAATGACATCAGAAGGTTTCAAACAAGTGTTTCCACTTACTCCTTGCTCTTAAATGGAAACAGATCTTTTCTCTTGGCTGCAGGTTGGAGTTCCAAGCAAGCCGATGATGGACACAGTAACAGTGAGATGTGGTCACTGCAACCATGTCTCCTTTCTTAGCCCCAGACCCATGGAGCAGTCCCATAGCCCCACCAATCATCAGCTGGGCCTTCAGGTTTTCTCCTCCTTGTTTGTTTAGGTTTGTAATGCTCAGTGACAAACATGCATGGTGTGAAGTGTAGAATGACTAAGATCTAACTTAGACTAGGCTGTATTACTAATCATTGAAGTCTTGGTCTTGTGCTTTCCTCATTCCCCTTTGAAGTTTGTTGTTAGCTTTACTCTCAATTAAGTACAGTTCAATAATAATCATGCTGCAACATTTCTTTTGGGAAAGCAAAATAAATATAAACTTAGGTTACTTTTTACTATTCCTTTTCTTTCTTCCGGTGGCAGTCATATTTTTCAGCTACTAAATATATATACATACATACATACATACATATATATATATATAACACTTGCTCTTCCTGTTGTTTGCTTTTTAACTCTGAAAGATGGAAGAATTTATTTCTCTTTGTTGTTAATTAGGGTGGTTGCATGGACTGCCTGAGGAGCCAACCTTCGCCATCATCATCATCGTCGTCGTCGTCATCAAATTCAAATGAACCAACAATTCAAAAACCGTCGTTTGTCGTGAAACGTAAAGTTCTTGGTTTTATTTTCTTCCTTTCATGTTCTTCCTTCCTCTCCAAATTTTATTTCTCGTGTGATCGTTTTGAGGAAATTTTTCATGATTTCTTGATGTCAGCTCCTGAGAAGAAACACAGAATGCCTTCAGCTTATAATCGCTTCATGAGGTAAGAATCAGAAAGGTTTGGCTTGTCATCATATTTGATCTGAGTAAGCATTACCAGCATAATGTTTATACATTCTAGTGGCTATATAATATATGGAACAGCAGATTGGAGCAACCTTCTAAATCTAACTTCAAACAAAGACATGCCTCTCCACCAACATTAATACTAATAATGTATTTTCTATTCTTCCTGGGAAGCATAAACACAATATAGCAGAACAATAATGTATTAAGCTTAAACAATTCCATGAATCTTTACTAATTTGACATGCCACTATGTTTCTAATTGTATGCATTTTAGTGTTTTTTGCAAGATTTTTTCTGCATTCATTGTTGCCATTGCAAGTCCTTTGTCTGCTGTTGGAAATTGCATACAGTGTGATCCCTTCTTTGTGAATTATATTTGAGTATATCATCATCGAGCAAGTTTTAATGTGTTTAATAGAGTATTTATGATCTTATTCATCGGAATAAAACAAATCAAATTCTTGTGATTAACAGACCTAAATAAAAATCATAGAACAAGAGGAAGACACAACAATAAAGAAGGTAATCGATAGAATTCACAGCAATAATAATGATTGAAGAAAACAATCAGAAAATTGGAATATTATTTCACAGTTTTATTTTTAAGAAGTCAATTGAAGGTATAGTTCATAAATTTTTCTTAAGTTTTTGGATATCTCCTTTTTATCAATGTTATGTGGAAAATAAGACTACATGTGGAAAGCTAAGAAGAAAACTTTCTTTGGATTAGAAGACCTGAAAAAAATTAATTGTGAAGGGTTTAAAGATATAGCACATGATGTGCAATTCGTAATATTCCAATGAGATTAAAAAAAATCAACTATTAACACGAATTGGATGATGAAGTAATATAATTCATCTATTGAGTAATAGTATATATATGTATGTTTTCATATATTACTAGATCAAACAGAGAAGTGACATTTAGACAATCTTAAATTTTATTTATGATTAATAATATTTTATCATACCATCAATGAGTTTAATGATAAATTAGATAAGAAGATGTTACCAATATCAAGATAACGAAGAATTGGAAGACAACAAAGAGTATGAATAGGATGAAAAAATCAAAGAAAGAAAAATATCATATGTCAGATGATGATGAGATTTTATTGGGATTGATCATATTTAGATCATGTATGAGCAAGATGAAGTACATGCAAAATATTAGTGAAAAAGCATATATGGAAAACACAGAAGATCAAAGAACAATGTTAGAGCTGCCATATTGTTAAACTTGACAAAGACTTTCACAATATAAAAATTTCAAAGAAAAATAATAAAGCATCGATAGTATTGGCAATATTTATTAGAATTATAAAAGTTTATATAAATTTTATGTGAAAGAATCTATAAAATCAGATAATGTTAGTATAAATCAAGAAGTTGTTGGCAGTATTACTTTTTAGAGCACCACTGTTGAGGATAATTTTAGCAGAAGCACAATTGTTGAAGACTTGTAAATTACAATGCTTGATAAATTGTATAGTGAATTTTCCACTCTGAAAATGTTGAACCTTTTCTTTTTTTCGATATCTAAGCTTATGATCGAATTGATTTCATGATCGAAGGTTGATAAAAAAAATTTTCACATTTGTGTCTATCGAAATTTCCCCACTTGATGTTAATGAGGGTATAGTGCATGTGAGCTCTTATTAATTGTCATGACTTGACCCGATGAGATAATTAGTCGATTAGCTTTGTTAAGCTCAAAATACTTAGACCTAAAAGCCATCTAAGTCTTACAAGTTCATTCAATACTTAACTCGCTTCAATGTCTCTTGTCTTCTTATATCCCTTGTTTATATTGTTCTAGCATTTTTCATCATTTTTCTCATAGATTATAACATGTAAATTGCACATATATCACAACTTTGCACATGGAGAATTCTTCATTATTAATGATCTGCAGCATTTTGATTTGGGAAAAACTCGGCCAATAAATACAAGTATTTGCACTAAACCAATCATCATTGACTGACTTCAGAGGGGGAACTCAATCCTTCCTCCCCAATTGCACTGCATCCAAAAATGCCTTTGAGATCTTTGTTTTTCTTAGTACGTGATCAAGAAGTATCCACAACTGTTGAGATATCATGTCTTAGACAACAGTACTCCTAAAGCATAGTTGTCGAAAGTGAAGAGAGTTATCAAGATCAGAGAAATGTAGAGATAAATAAAGGAAAACAAAAAAAAGTCATAGAATTATTGAAAAGATAATTAAATTTAAGATAGAAAGTAAGAGATAAATAAGATAATCATCATAATATTTTAAAAGTGTCATTGATATCTGTATATACTCATCGTATGTAATAGTAGAATCAATCAAGTTTAGTTCATTCAAATTTCGTGACAATTTGTGTGCCACAATTTCAGGAAAAATTGCATTCTCATGTTGGATGCCTATTTCATGTCATTCTAGCATTCCTCAATTTAATATTTTCTTACTCGTTCTTGATAAGCTTTATTAGCATCATTTACTTTACGACAACACTTCCATCGAATCCTTTAGAAGAATGAATATCTCACTAATCCATCCTTTTCTATGCCACATTGCTTTCTTCATTTGATTTCTTCATGTTATTCATTGATCTCCCACCTTTCATATCAATCATGATGTAATGAAATAAAAATAAATAAATAAAAATGAGATCAAGAAGTGGAAACAGGAGATATGTGAGTCGAAAAAACTTGCTTAAATAAAAAAATATTATCCTTTTGATTTCCCCAAAATTTGATCAGCACATATAATGCAACATTTTGATTCGGAATGCAGCTGAAAGGTAGCTAAACTTCCCTCCTGATTATGCCTAAGTTGCCAAAGTACATAACTCAAGTTGCACATCATGACAGGGAAGAAATACAGCGAATCAAAGCATCTAAACCCGACATTCCTCACCGCGAAGCTTTTAGCATGGCTTCGAAGAATGTAAGTTATCACACAAACAACCTATTTCTTCGTACATCGTCTCACTAATCTACTTCTTTAGATGTTGTTAATGCCTGTAGCTTACATGCTTCTTGTAACATGAACTAAAGTGGGCAAAGTGTGATCCTCGTTGCTCAATTATCGACGATAAGCTGGCGCCCGTTCCACAAGTGGTAAATCCTATCTTTCCTGTGAAAAGAAAAAGAGTCATTGTTTCCTTGTGGCTTCATTAATTGTTGTTTGTGTCCTCTTCTTTCTTGGCTTAATGGTACAGGAAAGAAGTTGCTCTACAATGGAAAACTCCAATTTTAATGAACAAACGGAACAGAAGGATTAGGGTTCCCAATCAACATATGGAGCTCTGTTGTTAAGCTTTGCTTGGATCTTGTCCTCTCCCTATAAAAAAAAAACAACTCCATGCTGTAGTATTTCCTAGGAGGAAATGATATAGATGTGGCTCATATGAATTGAATGCATATATGTGAATTTTCATGATCCAGACCTAAGTATTCAGTGTGTAGAGAGAAAAAAGAGGACTGCCATTGAAGGTTAAGTTATGAAGTCTCTAACAAGTTAATTGAGGTAGATAAGCTTTGACCCAGGAAGGAGTATGAGGACTTGTGTCAAACATAAAAATGCACTTTCATCTATCTCTATGGTTTTGATGAGTTCAAAAAGTTATCTATTCAACCCAAGTCTTGACAAGGATTTGTCAGCAGCTATGTACATGTCTTTTATGTTTAATGGACAAGAGTTTGCAACACCAAATCAATCAAAGCAAACTTCTATAAATCAATTGAGTGCAACATGTTATTGAAATTTCAGCATTAGTTCAGGTGCCATCATCTGGACAAGCATTTTGAAGGCTCATTTTCCTAAGATCAATTGCTATAAATCTTTCTATCCTCTCATGTTTAGTTCATTATAACTTTCTATCCTCTCTTTCTATGAATTGCTATAAATCTATAATAAACTTACCTGTTTTATATGGAGCTAGTAAATGCAGCCATGAGCCATCCTTCTTATCTATCTTTTTTCTTTGAACAAAATAGTCCTTATTCTTCATCCTTTGGAAACTATCTTTCATTAATAAACTGTGGGTTGAATCCACCCATTTCAATTCATGATATGTAAATAAATAAAAATAAAGGAAAAAAGTGATTAAGAGTTTGTCTACTTTTCTTTTGAGGAGAAAAATGGTCCAAACTCTCTTTCTTGGTCATAAAATATTGTTAATTAACTTGAAACAAGTTACTGTAGTTACAGGGAAAGTTTTAATTAACAGGCTGCTAATTAAGAGATTCATCAATAGGAAAACAGGCAAAAGTGATGACTATTTATGAGGTTGTCTATGGTTTGCTTTGGGCACCAATGGTGGGAGTCACTATGCATGAGAATGACTGTATGATGTATCCAACACAAGATAAAGATTGTGTGGAACTATGCTTTAGTCTGCTTCATCATTCACCCACTCCAACACATATGTGGTCCCAAAGCAATGGGAATGAAGAGAGTTAGTCTTTATTTTTATTTTACTAATGGGAATCATATGTGATATAATAGAATGTATTATTTGTAAAAACAATGAAAACAGTATTTTACAGCTGACTTTTTGGACTGTGCATTATTATAATGTGTACTGTGGAAGCTCTTGGAATAAAAAAATTTCTCCTAGAAACATACTCAATTTTTTTGAGATATAGTAATTGAAATATATATATATATATATATATATTAAAAACTTTTTTTTGAAAAAAATTATTGGCCTAGGAAAATAATAAAAGATTGTGTCTATACTTTTCAAAACCCTAATTAGTTCAAAAATGTCATTATCTTAACTATCATCACCATTGTCAGTGTCACTATCACAGTCACTGTTACTTAGTGCCCAACAAATATATTTTTCTTCTAAAGAAATAAATAAATAAATACAATAACAAATTAAATCCAGCTTAGCACAACCTTACAGTTGAGTACATACCTTTCCTGCTGGTGTCTAATCATATTCTGGCCTAGAAAAATAACCTTTCAGCAAGCTTACTTCTTGTGATTATGCCATAAACTTCATGGCTTGGTGGCATATAATCCCATCAGTTGTTACTATCTTTCATAGTATGAATTACTCCTTTATATTCTTTTCATGTCTTGAATTCAGGTTACTTACAATCAGTCAGTTGAGTTATTTGAGAACAAAGAGGTGCATCAGAACCCACAATATTTGTCAAAGAAACAGATAATTTTACTTCATAGCTTCATAATTGGCATAAGAAAGTTTCATATGCTCCAACTTGAGATATAGAACTAATTTCTTCTTGTGTTCTATTTGCAAGCCAAAGTAATAAGAAGCAATCCTAAACAGAGAGGAAGCAAAGATTGTTAAGATACTGGTTTCTCAAAATGCATGCAACACCAGAAATGGAAGCACTTCTCTTGACTACATCTCATAAGTCTTCAGTTCAAATAGATCAGAGCTGGAGTCACTCCCTCCTCCATCCTCCTCTTCCATCCTCATGGCCAACTCTTCTTTCTCAGGATAACCATCCGTGGACTTGGGTCTCTCAGCTGGCCAGACCTCGCTTGTCACCCTGTTGTGGTACCAAGCTTCTCTCTGTGAGCTGAAATGAACAGGCTTCTGGTGCCCGTTGGTCCTGCCATTGGAGTAACCCTCGTTGCTTCTGATGGTCTGGGAATAGCTGATGCTGCTTCTTCTCCTCCCTGCCTGCATCTCCTTCAGATTTCGATCTTTCTCCGACTGTGATTTCTTCTCGTAGATAGTTTGATTGAAGAAAGAGCACAGAAAGGTAGCTAACTTACGACACTTGTTGTCATCCTTGCGCTGGTTCTCACCCTTCTTGGACTGCCGGGGGAGGATGGCTCTTAGTACTGTATCCAAACTCTTCCTACCTGCAACCCAACTCACTCTATCTTCTCCCATGGCTCCCTCCACCGGAGAAGTACCGTGTCGCCTCGAAGACGCCAATCTCATCCGAGTCACCTTGGCGTTGAGCCACCACGGACAGCCTCGAGGGGAGGGGCCGGGAGAAAGAGGGCATGAATGCGTGGTGTGGTGCTTGGGATGATGGTGGTGGAAGAGCTGCACCCCTCTTTTGGCTACACTGACCATCACAAGAGAGATGCATGCTCGAGGGTGCTTTGGCTTTGGGAGATCTCTCCACTCGATGCTATTTATGCTGCTGTGGTTGGTCCATACACAGTGGCAGCAGTGGAACAAAATGTGATCTTGAACAGTACACAACCTGGAAATTGTCTCTCAACAGGTTGAGATAGTAAAACGTCTCTACAGTGTCTGTGATCCGAAAGAGACAGTTTGTCGTGCAATGAGTTCCATCCATATGCTTTTGGATTTCGAGAGCCCAAACCATGACATTGACGGGGGCGATAGGAAAAGACAAAACACAAAGTTTCACGCGATGAAAATGCTTGTATTCGATGTGTAGATTACCACTCCTTATATACACTTAGTCAACATAGTGATAAAGAAAATAATAAATAAATCCTTAAAATAATTATATTAATCATCTAAATTTGTGGAACTGACAATATTTTCTGATTGCCTTAAATTTATTGAGTGATATAAAAGGATTCTTTCTTAATGGAGTGATTTGATGTTAAAAGATTTTTCCTCCCCGTGCTTCCATCATAAACATTAATTGGGGGTTTTGTAAGGATGTCATCAACTTGATTATATGTGGAGGTACGAGTAACTTGAAGAGAATCATTTGTAATCTTATCTCGAATAAAATAATAATCGAGGATGACATGCTTCATACGAGAGTGGAATACCAGGTTAGCACATAAATAAGTCGCACCAATATTATCATAAAGAAGACGAGAAGGTTGACCAAACGACATGCCCAACTCAGATGGAAGCTTAGTGAGCTAAGATAACTTAGCCATAGTAGAGGAAATAGAGTGATATTCAACTTTCGTGGATGACCAAGCAATTGTCTATTGCTTTTTAGAGTACCATGCTATTGGGTTGGCTTTAATAAACATGACATAAGCCAAGATGAATATAAAGTCATCACAATTATTGACCAAAGTAGTATCAGAATAAATAGAAAGAATTAGTGATTGGGAACGAGTGATTTGAGATATCCCATAGGACGCTTGGGAATTGTCCAATGAGTTAAGCAAGTTTATTGAGAAATGTTTAACTATGTAAGTGATCAGTATTGCACGACACTAATGAGAATATGATATTCGATAGTATCTATAGGAGGAGAGCTATCATTAAGGACCAATTGTATTAGAGGTGTGATTATCTCTTTGATGTCCTACATCTTTAATTGCTTAAGTAGATCTTGAATATAATTATGTTGTAAGAGAAAAATGCTTTTAGCGATGGATATACCTTCAAGTCCCCAAGTAGTGAAGATTATCAAGATCTTTGATTGAGAATCTCCCAGAGGGAGCAACAATGCCATAATAAATAAATAGCTTGAAATTTTCTATGATTAATAAGCCATCTATATAGACAAGAATATAAATTGTGATAGACTTATCAATATAAAAAATAAAGTATCAAATTTAGAGTTAATAAAGCCAAGGGTGAAAATAAAGTTCTTCAATTAATGAAACCAAGCGCAAGGTACACACACATGATTGGGCAAGAGGCATCAACAAAGCCCAGCAGTATCAGCCATCCATGAGTGAGAGCAAGAGAAAGAACAAGCTGAGTTATTTGTGATTTGATTATAGGGCTGAAAGTTTCATAATAGTCTACAATAGGAAGTTGATGAAATCCTTTGGTGATAAATCGAGCTTCACAAAACTTTCATCCGAATTTTGTTTGATTATAAAAAATTCATAATAGTCTACTCTAGGAAGTTGAAGTTTTGATTGGAGGCATTAGGAACAAACTCCCAAATTATATTCTTTATGAGAGCATTAAATTCATCACATATGGCTTCTCTTCTCTCCACTTCGGATCTGTTTCATAGCTTGAGTGACAGAGGAGGATTCAAGTTGAAGAAATGAGGTGTTTCTAGAGTTGGATAAAATGATAGACCATACCTCTTGAAGGTGACTCACTCACTCAAAGGTAAGCCAAAAGATGCTCTTGTAGTGGTGTGTTTGCTTGATGAAGATCAACCACCAAATGGTAAGTCACTAACTTGCATCGACTCAAGCGACGGATATATCCGAATAGGAACCGAATGAAGTTGATGCATGCATCAACCTTGGCAGTGACTCATAAAATGGAAGGTGAGGATTCATGATTACCTACCAAAGAAGGTAGGTTTTGGAAAGACACGTTAGAAGAATCACAAATATAAACGGATTGAGTTGGTAAAGAATATTAAGTAATAGGAATTTCATAATTTAGAGATTACAATGATGGTGACATATTTTACTAATTTGAGATGATTTATGGATTTATCTTATTATCATTTGTGAATGTGGATGTGGATGGAATTTGACTTCAACCAATTGAACATGATGTGAAAAAGTAAATCTCAAGTTCAATTAGATCGAAACAAATATAAGAATTATTGATATTTAAATAACCTAGAGAAAATGTTATTCTAATTTATGTTTGTTATAAGGTTGAAGCCATAGATACCAAAGACATCTAAATATTCATAATTATTCTTAAGAATAGGTATTGGTAGTCGATTAACAAGATTAATAAAAAAAAATTAAATACATAGATCTAAAGGATAAAAGAAGAGGTGTTCAACGAAGGAGGTAAGTCTGTTTTAACGATATGTCGATGATGATGTTCAACAGATGTTATATGCTAGGGGGTATAGGGAGGAAAGTTCTTTAAAGTATTGAATTTCATGATTTTCAAATATAGATTTTAGACTTTAGTATTCTTTTCAACCATTTGAATATATTGTATTAATAGATACTTCAAAGAACTTTTTTATCATAGTTTTAAATTAAAAAAAAAAGAGAGAAAACATCAAATTTATGAGCCATTAGGAATAACGATGAATATATTGTGAAATGATCAACATAAATAACATAAAAGGAAAGATGATCCATTCCATAAATTGGAGATGGACCCCAAACATCATCGATGTAGATGAGATCCAAAGATCATGATTTTCTAAAGTTGAGACACCAAACAGTAATTTATGATTTTTATTTAAATTACAAGAATTACAAAATGAAAACTTGGATTTACTCATATGAATAACAAGATTAAAATTTGGGATAGAATATGATAAGAGTACTGGACGGATGACCATCATGCCAATGATTGAAGTTCTGACTCCAATACTCATAAGGCTACTCATTTGTGTTTGAAATCCTTTATAAAAATAAATAGAAACTAATTTTATTATATGAATGGAACATATAAAACATTTGAAAGTGAAAATAAATTTAAAGATTTGGGAAGAGTAGCGGTGCTAGTACGTGTAATATGTAAACCTAAATCATCACCAATAATAATATCATTTGGCCCGTCATATGATCGGTGAATATTTAAAAAAAAATTAATCTTATGTGACATGATGAGAAGCTACAAAATCCAACAACTAATTTGAGGTAAAGGCACCATTTGCCATGGTGTGATTAGCAATGTTACATGACAATATAGCCTTGTCTAGCAATAAGAAACAAGAGGAGTAATAAGAAAAGACAAAACACATAAAGGGATGAAAAAGCTTGTATTCAAAGACCTAAAATAATTACATTAATAATTTAAATTTATGGAATTGATTCCGTGAAGATTTTTTCTTAATATTGATTGAGCTACAAACGTAGAACATAAGAAGATAGCTTACCAGACATTACTGTCATAGAAGAGATGGGACCTTCAACCTCCAAAAGACTAGTCTTAGAAGATCCATGCTAACCCTATATAAAGATCATGAGTACTAGTTCTTTAGATCTACGACTACCCGAAGAAGAAGAAGAAGAAGAAGAAGGATTAGGATGTACACTCGCATTCACAGGGTGTATCTGTATCCAATATCGAAAGGCAGGACCAGTGGCAGATCAACCACAAGAAAGGGACATGAAGACCACCAGATTTCACATGCATTGGGTAATCAGGTAGTGTCATTTCATGCAAAGTCTTCCACCGATCTGGTTTGAGGCTCATCCAAACCTCTCTTGTCTGTGATCTCCTGTGAGGTTGCTTTCCTCAGTCGACTCCCCCTGGTTCTAATTGCCAGTACTTTCTGGCTTAGCAATCTAATGCTGCAGCTTCCACTCATTGAAGTACTTACTATCTTTGACTGCAGATGTACTTGCTTTCTCTTCCTCAGATCCACATATATTAGAGAGAGAGAGAGCGAGAGAGAGAGAGAGAGAGAGAGAGAGAGAGAGAGAGAGAGGAGTTCAATAATAGTTGCTCAGTATTGGATGTGCCCTCGGCTTCCTTTGGAGGATGAGGAAGAAGAAAGCAACATCTCATGTTTAGCTCCAAACTATGGTTTGTCTCTTCTTGAGGAAATACTGAATCCAAACATCTCCACAAACTCCATTATTTTGTTGTTTTTTGTGGTCAGATAATACTTTTCTTGTATTATTTGGGTGCCACCAAATCCTGCTTGGTATACCATAACATGATTACTGAATTCTTTCTTAATTATTGGGACATTTTTTTTGTTAGCATGAGCTAATTCCTCTAAAATACATATTTAAGAATGTATAATTAGTCGGACTTAGATTTATAATTTTTTAAATTATAAACAATGATAATGATTTTTTTCTTTCGTACCGATGTTTACGCGTCATGTTTACTCGAAAATATTTTTATTAAATATGACCTGAGTTCAAATAGGAAAAATAATAAATCAAGTTTGTTTTTCATATATGATGAAATTTATTGGTATAGTTGTCATCATTTATATTCATAAATCATCAATCATAAAAACTTATTGGTATAGTTGTCATAACTTGTTGGACCAATAGGCTCTACCTAAATGAGTTCTTTGGTTGAATTCAAATAGGAAGTGTCATCACCATAATACAAAGTTTGGAAATAGTATATTTGTTATTATAAATTTTAATATAGTATCTATATCATCTCAAATATTAAGATCCTTCGCCTATACAATTATTATTATTATTATTATTATTATTTATACAAATTTCCAAGCTAATTATTTTCTAGTTATGATTAACACTACTTTGTTTGAGTTCAAGAAGTCGTGACTTAAGTCGGTGCGTGAAGTGTTAATTATTCTCCGTCTTTGAGAACGACACCGAACTGAACAATCTGCACCTAACACGTGGCGATTTCCTCCATGGTTGCGGGGTCGATTGTGAAATGGACGATCGAGATCAAATGGGTATCTGTGCGGGTTTGTCGGGTGGGTATAAATAGCGTTTCCGCATATAATAAAGAGTCTATCATGATGAGAAGACTCCTCGATAATTGAACGAAGAAACCCAAAATGTTTGGGTACTCGACTTATTTCAACCCGAATTGTTGACCCACTTCTATCAAATCCCTTACTGTTAACTGGGCCCACAACGTCGAGTTCTTGTTTGGGGTAGGTAGTCATCAGGTGCGTGTTGTAATCAAATGAAAAGGGCCATCAGCGCTCTTGACTCGAGTCTTGCTGCCTGCCTTCTATTTGGCCTTCGCTGCCTTTCCCCTTCCCACCTACGCTGAGAAGCCATGGAGGGCCTGAGGAAGCTACTGGTGGAGAAGGCGAGGGAGGTGAAGGGGGCGGACGAGCTCAAGGAGAGCGTGACGGAGTTTGTCAAGGAGAAGCTCGCGCAGCTGATCCATGTGTTGCAGGACGCCATCGGGTTCCTGGCGGAGAAGCTGGACCTTGTCTTCCCGCCTGAGACCAGAGCCGAGACGCTGCACCGATGGCTGCACGTTGGCTTAACGGTGGTCCTTCCCGTGGCTGTTGTGCTCCTCTGTCTCTACTGCTGCTGCTGCCGCGGCAACCGCTGCTGCTGCGGCGGCGGCAGCCGCGGCACTGGCCGGATGATGAGGGCGCCCGGGCGGCACGGCGCCGTCATGCCCCGGGCATCCTTCGAGAGCGACCCCCGGGGTTACTTCATCAACCTTAGAGCCAAGAAGGATCTTGTGTTCTAGAAGAACACTACATGATAAATGCATGGGGAGAGAGAGAGAGTTGTCTTGTAAGTTTGGAGTTGTGTGTGGGCTCAGAGTGTGTGTCTATGATGTGCGTGCTTCAGATGGAAGTAATAAGCTGTGTTAGATGTCATTTCTTGTTTATCTCTTTGGAGAAATTGTGTTTCAATTAGCAGTATTGAGATCTACCGCTTTGGAGTTGCCTTATGGCATCTATAAGACATGGCCTTTGTTCGCTAGTTTTCTCCACTTTTGTGGATTAAAGATGTCTCGTTTCAAGATGAAGGCTCGTGCAAATCCAATAAATTTCATTGTCGGTAGTGCATGAGTTAGGTTTATTTTATATATATTATGGTGATCATGGTCGACACCTTTAATGGCCAGATAAATTTCCACAGCTATGCATACATCCAAAAGGAAGCCACAACAAGTCTAGTAATCATTAAAGATGAAATGATTTGACGTTCGTATATATATATATATATATATATATAATGGCATAATCCGTACCTAAATAGTTATACGATCGATTCCTCAACCGGTGATTGACACTTGAGCATTATATGGTATATATATATATATATATATCAATTCCTCAACCGGTGATTGACACACTTGAGCATTATATGGTTTATACATCTACGTTATATGATCTATACCTCAAACACCACGATACATTGACGCTATGTGAAGGACACCACGAGATCACATGACCAACACTTTAATTATACATCCCAACATTTCAACTACATATGACTAACATGATCTCATACCAAGGACACTACTAATCACACCATATTTATTTCATATATTGTAAATTTGACATAGCACGACTCTATTAGGATCAAAAGATGTTTGTAATCATTTTCATCTTCGACATAAATCTATAAGAATAATAATCCAAAAGCCATATTATAAAAAACGCTTTCATATGCTTTTCTATATACATAATATCATATCCTCTGGCATTCAACTCTAACATTCTTGGCATTCTACTAACATCTTATTTATTGAATTGACTTAAGCGGAGGAGCTTTGTCGGACATGCTTTAAACATAATTTTGTAAGTTCTTAACATCCTAAAGGATTTTATATTTCCCTAAACTATTCAAAGATAGTGATTGAATTTCACCTCGGTTGAGTCCAAATTAACATCTCAATTAGATAACTAAATTTTTGACTTTGACATAACACATATATTATTATATTAATTAATCAAATTACTTCCATCATATTTGATATTATCATAATTATCATATCAATACTATTAAACTATCACCTTTAATCATTGTCATTGGCCATTGAAAAATAGGTGAATTCCTAGAAAACCTTTTTCCTTAATAAATTCTCATGGAATACCCCAATTTTTAAAAATTCTCGTAGAATACCCCTTGTTGTGTGAAAAAATAATTTTACCCTTAGGCCTTGGTGGACCTACCTCTACCTTCGCCCTACATTACCCTTGCACCACCTTCACAAATCCCTATTGGACCCACCCTCACGCGAGGAAAGAGAGAATACAGAAGCAACAATAGAACATATGGGAGTCAACAAGGTTCAAAGCATTAGCCCTCATCCACTCCTTCCTAATACGAGGACCATAGACAATCATGATGAGTGAGACACACAAGGAAGGTTCTAATAGGAGTCAACAAGATTTGCAAAGACGATGACGACCCTCGCACAAGAGTCATGATGAGTGCAATGGGTGAGACAATAAACTTGGTAGGGCAAAAAGAAAAAGAGACAATGGCGAAGACAGCACAAGGGTCGTGAAACGGATTTAACGAGGGCTAAAGACAAAATTATCATTTACCAAAAAAATATTTTATAATTTTTAAAAAAAATTAAGCTGCTATGCGAGAATTTCTCAAAAGGCAAATTTTTTTTTTAAAATTATCCTTAAAAAATTACACCCCTTTCTTTATCAATAAAGAAAGCAAAAACAAATAGGTTAACCTTTCTTCCCTCTTAAGCCAACTCCAAGCAATTGCCTTCAATTCCTGTACATATCAGTGCTATCTCACACTATCATGGAAAACAGAAGCAAGGTAAATGTGTCAGTTCATTTGTAGTGATATTATCATCATAAGAATACAGTAAAGATATTTTCATAATAAAGTTATTGAAAAGAAAAAGACTAAATTTGGGCAGGAGTAAACATGGAAGGTGCATTAAGAAAGACATGCTACTTTACAACTCCATTTCATGATTCCTAATCCACTATTAAGATCGATGACAATCTCAATCCAGAACCATGGAGCACAGGCTCAATCTGGTTTGGTCAGTCCCTGCAGCTGCTGTCATCTGTTAGGTGATGTATCTTGTGCATGGAGCTGGTAAGAGAACATATTCCTCTGTAAATCCTAACCCTTGTATCAGTGTTTTGCCTTCAAAGACAAGTGGATTTGGAGAAGTCCATTGAATCTAAGCAATTATTACAACAAAAAACTAAACCTGCTATAGAGTCAGATTGATTTCAGCATGGTGTCCATTCATCCATTCACTGAGCAGCACATGCGCACCTCCATATCACACAAAATAAAAAAAGATAGCTACAAAAACAAATTGCAGAAGATCTTTAGTGCTGAGGAACTCTAGAGATCTCAAGGCAACAGAACAATTTAGCAAAAAGAAAGCTGCTGGAGTTTACATTGAAGATGTATTCAGTTTGACCACTTTTTTGTGTCATCACTGGTTCAACAAGATCACTAGAGCTAGAAGCTAACTTTAATGGTTCTATTCTTTACAATAACTGGAAGGAGAATCCAGGTGAAATACTTGCATGCCACATCCACAAGGTTCTGAATCAGAAGATAAGGATCGGAACCAATTGCTAGAGCAAGACCCAGTTTGTTGTGTTGAGATTTTTTTTTTTTTTGAGTTCCTCTGATATGACTTAAGACTGCATGAACACATCATCTGTTCTCAATATAGTTCTCCATGGTGCTATAAAGAGTTAGGTGTATCAGGCCGACCAAGTGATGCAGTGTGATAATTGCCATCTTATTTCTGGATGTGATATCAACTCTTTACAGTACATTCCATACTAAGTACCAAAATAGCATGCATCAGTTTTGAACTTGGAATGCTACCTTGATACTGTACAACACCACTTCAAAAGTGGCCGTTCATTTTCTATAACCTACTTGGCTACCTGTTGGATGCTGCAAACTAGGTTGGATCTCTAGCCCTCGAAAAAAAAAAAAATCTCCAACAAAATGATGAAACATGTCTCACCAAGTATTATTGGCAGATGATATCTTTACTGCTTCAACATCTGAAAATTCAATTCTAAGTTCATAAAAAATGTACAAAATTAGAAGCTCCAAGCTCAAGGTTCCAAGAAAGCATGGTTTAAGATGAAGCATTGCTTTGAAACCTAAAAGACTTCAAACATGAATGCCTACAATGTAGCAGATGATTCATATGCTTTAAGTGGCATCACAGGCTTTAAAGAAAGCAAAAGAATTGGTAAATTGAGAGAAACACCACATTCACCTTGGAACTCTTTTACCCTAGTCAACCAAATATTTGTTTTCAATTTATAACCCAAAAAAACACATTAATCCATTAACTTGGCATACCTAAATTATGCACCCCATGATTCCCATGCTTGAGCATTTGATGCAGCCCCTTGTCACGGATAAACTTCGAAACAGAATGTTTGATGTAACGCTTATGTATGTCCGTGTCTTTTGGTATGTTCATGCTTTGTACAGCATGTAGAGGGACGACCGAAGGCTTAATAGTCCCATTTTAATAGGGTTGGTGGCCGCTTTAGGCTTGTAAATAAAGGTTATGTCATATGGACACTTGTGAGAGATTTTTAGCCTGTAATGGACCATTTTAACCCTTTGTTGTGTAACTGTTCAGAGCTTGTAAAGTCTGTTTGTAATTTGCATTGTCTATGAAGTGTTTTCGGAGATGCTTGCTTGTGAATCCCGAATGAAGCGTTTTCTCTAACCCGTTCTCTCTTTTGTGGGTCCTAAGGGACCATATGAGGCTTTGGGGAGGCTGACCTTTGCGGACGGACACGCGAGGGTGCCGCACGACTTAGGCAAAACCAGCTAAGTCCGTAACACCCTGGTGATATCAATCTCGATTAAGTTGTCATCCTCACCGATTTCTGATACGAGCTCCATCAGTCCATGTTACCTCAATACTAGCTCAAGCAAAGATTTGTCAGTAATCCTCTAATTATAACTGGCAGTGGCTTCAACCATGCTTTTGACACCTCAGGCACAACAAAATGATCATCTGGGATTATAATCTCAATGAGGTTTTCATCATCTGATATTGAACCTTCAAAGCTTTCCTTCAAGCAGCAAGCATCCTCAAGCAAAGACTCATCAGAAGAGTTCGAGCATCGCAATGTGCTTTGACTTAAATTCTCTTGTGCATTTTTGCCACTGGAACTCAAAGCATCTACCGATAGAAGCCCACTTGTTAACTCCCCCTCCAGCCCTTCATACTTCAGTGATGGATCTTCTGACCAACTGACTGCTTCATCATTGTGATATGCGACAAATTCTTCCATGGATGCCTTCTGATCCGCAAAAACTACATCTTGTGGCAGAGAAGCAGCAGCTTCTGATGGCTTCTCCTTGAAGCAAGCCTTGCCAATTTGGCCGAGAAGTGGAAAAAAGGTGGATAGTACCAGCAGTAACAAGGTAAGCAACGTTGAAGTCAAATGATTACTGCAATAACTCCAATAGATCAGTAGGAGGAGACAGAGTGCAATGGCTAATCCACTATGTCTGGGGGAACAAGGAGATGCCATTTGAAGAACAGATGGTTCCAGCATGATGAGTAGTACACTAACTAGGCACTCAATTTAGTTGGATCATGACGAGGAACATCTTAAAGAAAATAGTGAGCAACTTGAATAAACAACTAGAAAAAGTGAAGGTTAATGGGGCAGCAATTGACTCTTCTTTTCTTTAGCTACTCCGGAAGCTTGGAGTATGAGAATAACTCAGATACGTGCAAAGAAGGAAGAAGTTCATGCACCTAATCTTCTGAACCATTGAGGAAAAGCAAGCTACTAAGAACAGGAGAAAACATTGGAGAAGATATAAATCTTGGCCTGAAACATTAAGGAGATATGAGAAGAAGAATATATTTAACAAAAACTTCTTGCATAGGAAAAATCCAAATATGTGATTAAAAAGGAAGAGCTTCGAGCGTTTTTCCTACTGAAACAAAGAATGGCTGGCAAGGCTTTCACACCCCATCACGTTCCCACTCATCTTTAAGGAATATATTACTTGCTCTCTTTCCCTATTTGTTTTCCCCCACATCTAAGTCTTCTCTAATAGCACCAAATAAGTGGTACCACTGTACAAACTACTGCAGCCATGAATGGCACTTCCAACCTAAAGCTCCACTAGGGAAATCTAAAGAAAAAGTAAGCACAAAGGTTCAAAAGTTATATTTTCTTTTTCCAAATTTGAGGAAATCATTCAACAAAAACAATGTGTTTTTATCTCAGTTGTGAATACAGATGAAAAAAAACAAACCTGTTATGAACTTAATTTCTTTGTTCTTAGATTAAAAGACTATCGACCTTATATATATACACATGCATACCATATTATAAATTTATAAACCAAGAAGCCAACATATAAAGAACTTACCTGCCTTCTTCATGAATCCGTCAAAATATATTTTTGTATCTCTCATATAATATTCCCAGCTAAAATAAGTTATCTGGAATCAAGGACCTTGTCTGCCGTTTTTGCTGCTAATGATGGCCTCAGACACGCCTTTTTCTTTATCCTGCCAGGATGCATGAGTGCTCAGTCTAATCAATTCATATCTCACACACTTGAGTGGTGGAGGTCCATTCTGGATCATTTATCCATGTTTGCATACCAGTTGTCCTTGATTTTTTTTCTCTTTTGAACTTTTGGAAGGCCATGTTCAACTTTTATCTTCTTTTGATCCAATCCAAATGCCTCACCAAATAATTTCATTAACAGAGTTTCGAGTTTCTTCAGCTTCAAATGCAAGCATTAGAGGTGAAACCATGGCCCTTGTCCAACAAGATCAGGTTTTGAAGCTTCGAGATGAAACCATTATCTTGAGACAGCCAGCTCCAAGAAGAGGAATCAACAGCTATAAATGATCTGAAACGAACAGAGGCGATGGCGCTGTGAAGTTGCATCAGCGACTCAACAGTTGCGGATGCCGATGAGACCGACCTACAGAACTCAGTAGGAAACATTGAAAACCCAGAATCGAGAGAGAGAGAGAGAGACAAAAGGATCAAAAGCAAGTCTTCCATCACCTCCAGGCGAGAGGGGACGTTCTGTGCGGCAGCGAGGAGTGCGGCAAGAGGGTTTTGGAGCGGACCGCAGCGGATCTCCCAGGCGGCATCACCGCAGACGTACAAGGCGACGGTATCTCCGACCTCTAAACCCTGAAGTGCCGTTGTAGTGTTCTCCATTGTGATCAAGTCTTTTTGTGACTTGTTTACGTGCATTACTTTTGGCAATCCCCCACCGCCCAAGAATCGCCTTTAATATTTTTTTAATAAGACCTATCTATTTCTCATAATCATTTAATTGATTCGGGATATGATCTTCTGGATCTTCGGGTCGTTGGGTCATAACTTAATGTTTTAAATTCTAAAAATATTAAATTAATTTAATAAATATTAAAAATTATTTTTCATCTTTTCTTCTTCGATCTTCGTATCATCATAATTGATTATCTTTCTTTTTTCAATCGACGATAAAAGATGCTTTGACTATTGCAAGAAAAAGAAAAACGATTATATGAAATAATTTGTTAAAATTAAATGATAAATTAATAATATTTATGTCGATTTAGGGAGAAATATCCTAAGTATATTAAAAGTTATAAATAATAAAAACATATCTACCAAAGTTGAAAATGACAAACTTACTTTAATAGTCAAACAATAGTCAACTAACATAGTTTAACATAGTTTATCTATCAATGACTATTTTGTATTTGTTTTATGGATGCAACTTTAACCTAACAAACTTGTCCATATATACATACATACATACATACATAAATATACATATATATAATGTATGTATATATATAAATATGTATATATACACACACACGCACATATATATATATAATACATATTCTATATATGCATGTATATACATATACATATACATATTATATATATATACATATACATATATATATATATATATATATATATATATATATATATATATATATATATTCTACAACGTACATGAATCTCACAACTATATTGTTCTAATAAAATTTTGAAAATATTTTCAATATAAATTTTTATTCTGTTATATAAATATATTAACATTATATATAAAACCATGAAAACCACAAAATTTATGACAGAATTTGTACAGTAGTGGGAGCTAACATTTTATCAGAAATAACTGCAGATCTACTAATGTATATCATCTAAACAATAGAGCTGTGCAGAACATAAACCAGCAATCCAAAACTATTACTAGTCGTGCAGGAAGTAACAGAAGCAGAAGCACCTTTCCACAGTCACTGAACCACGGTGGTCTCAAGTGGCACAGAACTTTCCACTTCTTTGGTTTCTGAAGTCCTCTGTGCAACACTCTTTGACATTCCAAACATCTGAAACATATACAAGAAAATAAGTTGCAGACAAATTCATGACCTCTCCGAGGGATAGTGTTTTCCTACTGACCTTTTGGATAGTCTTTTTAAAGCAAGATTTGTGCTCATCCATAGAGGCATTAATGAATTCATCCATATGGTCTCTCAGATCCTCCAAAAAGCTAGCTTCCTCCGATTTCTTCTTTCGGCATGAGGCCATGGCTTGATCAACTGACCGGGGCTTTTCGGATTGAGGTTTTTGTGCTTCCATTTTGTGTGGAAAATTTCTCTGCAGACTAGGCATGTCATTGTAATGTACAATGTTTAAAACATTTAAAAGCAGACAGTGTAATTAAATGGAATCTTCCTCTATCAATTTTGTTTTTTTGCATAAAACACATAATTCAGCTGAATGAGATCAGGATCATGAGTTAAAGCAACATTAACAATCATATAGAAATGTTTAGACTCCTAGAAACTACTACTACACTCTTTTGCTGGTCTCCGTACATATAAGATACAGCTCATAAGAAACATAATAGAAGTGAAAAGATAATCTTGTTCTCATTCTGTTGAGCAAAAGAAAATGAATTATCAAAACCGGTGAACAGATATGCAGACCTAAAAGTTGTTGACAAAGGTGAGCCATATAAAACATCATGTTCATCTACAAGTGTTCAATGAATAAATTCTCATTGTAGTTTAAGTCCTGTGATGTTAAGTTATGACAGCATAAAATGCATGAAACATACATTGGACCAATCACATTCATGCTGACACATGCCGAGCTCCTCTTCATCATCTCCACTATGGGTGAGACAAGGTACATCATACAAATGCATACCATCTCCAAAATCTTGATTAGCTTTATTTATACTTCTTTTGGAATGGATCATCAATGCTGAATTGACATTATTAATTACCACTAAATAAATTCATAGTGACTATTTGAACCACTGTATGAATAATTAGAGTTATAAACAACCATATAATTAGTCAAACAAGATTAGATGTATTTTTCTTGTTATTAAAAGTAACTATTAATAGGTGCATTGATAAAGCCAGAGTGACATATTAAAGGGTAACAACAACCTAAACCTACACACCATGTGGGTTTAGCCCCCCACAGAATATTTAGAACATGCTTCTTAGAAATAGATAATAACTTATACACTATCTGAAATCATAGCAGACATGCAATATGAGGCTATTCTTGCACAAAAAACAAACAGTAAAAATATAATACAAATCATTATAGTCAAAAGCAAAAGCACAGGGCGCTAAAAGGCACCAAAGTGTGAAAATGCTTGAGGTTCCGAGAGAAGCGAGACACTATTGGATATTAAAATTTAAAAAATATATCATGATTGATAAATATGATTGTTAAAATAAAAATAACACATCAAATTCATTTAAAGTACGAAACTACAGTATTCACATCTAATAACAAAAATGACAAAACAAAACAAAATTAACATCGCTTATGTGGTTGTGGGTTGCTATCGGTTGGAAGGGGAAGAGGGAGGAGGAGGAAGGAAAGGGGGCTGTGGTCTGGGAGGGGAGAAGCAGGGGATGGCACAGGCGGCGGCGAGGCAAAGAAGAGGGGAGGGAGAGGGCTGCAGCGAAGAGGGGAAGAGGCTGGCGGCGGGCGCGGGCGCGGAGGCTGTGGCGAAGGAGAGGAAGAGGGGAGGCAGGGAAATACGGCGGCGGACGCACGCGATCCATCGGAAAGAAACAGTAATGTCCCAAGAACAAATTAGGCTTGGATATATAGTTAAACTTCACTTTTTTTCTGCAGGAATTCAGAGATAAGCATCACAAATTTGGGGAAAATGGAAGCAGGTAATCAAGAATCATGACAAGAACAGATTATAATTGTCAGATCATATATATGAACGAAGTTTAAGGTAATACAAAGAGATAAAATAAGAGGAAACAACCCTAGAAATTCACAATCCGCAACGATGACACTAATAAAGATCGAAACGAAGGTAAAGATGGAACGAAGTTGAAGGCAATACAAAGAGATGAGATCGAGAGGAAACAACCCTAGAAATTCACAATCCGCAACGACGACACTAATGAAGATCGAAACGAAGGTAAAGATGGAGAGGGAGATGCTCACCTAATTTGAGAGAACGGAAGCAGATGGACGAAGAACGCAGCGTTGTGTCCTTGGGGTTTTATAGCAGACGCGGATCCGTCGGTTTTGGCATGCGCCTATAATCTTGAGAAAGGGGGCCGAAAAAGACGGGGCGGATCGCTTTCCTTGCATACCCTAACTGATAGATCTACGGGTCGGATACTTGGAAGTCCGAACCAACCCAAACTTTTATATATTTTCTTAAGGGCATATTTGTCCCCTTTGATATATATATATATATATATATATATATATATATATATATATATATATATATATATATATATATACCTCCAAGTATTTATAGACATATATTACTCGCTGATATCCATTCAACAAATCCGAAAAATTAACTACTATTGGCTCATAATTATCACTGAATTAATTAATTTTATTTTTCAGCAATTATTTGACCCATTATATTTGTCAATAATTTGTATACCAACAATCAACTCACAGAGATTTAACTACAATGATACTATATATTTTTGATTTTGCAGGAATATAAATTGCTAGGCTTAAACTTAGAGGGGGTAAATAAGAAGGTCACTAACCTTAGAGGAATACACAGTTTTACTCTGTTGATAATAGAAGATTATATGTTAAGTAGAAGCATTGCAAGCTAATTATTCCTATTTAGAAGATGGTTTCTTGGATATGCATACTTGAGATTAAAACTAGTAAAGGCCTAAAATTATGCTTCTTAAGAAAGTGTTGTCGATGTTTGATGGGATGATAGTGATGGTTGAAATAGATGGAGAGGATAAGGACAAGGCATGGATATCAGAAAACATTCACATTATTCTTTAAGAAGATTAAGACATTAGGAGATATGCATATAGATCACAGTTTATGTTATGAAATGAATATACTTTGGTTTGGATTAAACAAAGCAAGGGAATACTTTAACAAGAAAATTAAACACAGAGGAGTTGTCAGTGATCAGCATGCTTCTTCTCAAAGAGACCGTCAGGACCTGAGAAAACAGAACAAAGAGGTATATAGATGAGAAATGCACAGAGCATAGTGTAGATGCAAGTAGTAGTTTACAGGGGATGCACGAGAAAGATAAAAAAGGAATTAAATGAACCACTTACGAATGACAATTAACAAAACAAAGGATTAAATTAGCACTACGCAAGCAGGGGAGCATGGAAATAAGTCGATTCTCTGAAAGAAGGCCTAACTTGTATGCAATATGCATAGTCTGCAGCAGAGTGTAACTAAGAAATGTGAAATTATATTAAATAACTATCAAATATACAAAGAAAAATGCATGCCCAGGAAAACTTGCATGGACATGGTGTGCCTGTTCAGACAAATAATGCCGACATCACCAACATTTGAAACAGTTGGACATTTCACAAGAACTGGAACTAAATTACTAGTGCAAGACATTATGCCGCTTTCAGCATGGTAAGCACAGAAGCAAAATAATGTTCGATGGTATCACCAGTATCGTGGCACAACCAGTTTCAAAAATGTGTTAGCAGTGTACGTATCTATGATGTGCTCAGGATTGGTCGATCCCGTTCCAGAATTGCTGAGTGCATGCCATTATGCTGCTTTCAGCATGGTGAACACCAGAAGCAAAATAATGTACAACAGTATTCTATTATCATGGCAAACCCTATTCCAAAAATGTGCTGGCAGTGTAGGTATCTGCAGTGTTTTCTGGATAGATTGAAATCAGCTGATTCGAAGTGGAATCAGCTGCTGTCAATGTGATCTCCCCCAAGAAATCAGGCATCTACAGGAAGTTGGCCGGAAAATGCTAGATCTTGGCTGGACCCTGGAGATCAGCTAGAATTGACCAGAATCAGATAAATTTTCTTAAAACTTGGCAATCTGGCTGATTTAATCAAATATAGAGAGAGTGTCTATGCAGCAGGAATTAGCAGGTATGCCAAGTGTAAATGATGGATGATGGTGATCTAGAGGAGATGAGAATGGCTATAAGAGTAAGTAGATGATCCTTATTGAGGACACCGGGAGATAACCAACAGTTCTTGTACAGTGGTTCAGCTTCAATACATATTGGATATCTTCAAAGGGCGATTGGAAGCAGAAACAAAATTAAGGTTTCACAAAGTGCCAATGTATAAATAAGCAGCGATTCGTAGAGTCAGGGATGTATTTGTCACATGCTACTAAAAACAGAAATCATTGCATCCGAAGTTAAAGACTGTGCCACAAGAGCTCATGATAGAGATATGGTTTCATCATAGTCATATTCCCTTCCATACAGCTGATAATTCTTATTGTCAAGATATAAGGAACATCATTAAAAACAAAGGCCAAGGAGTTTATTTCCTTACTGGCAGAGATCTAGAGGACACAGTATGATTTATTATAGTCGATGAGATCAAAGTTTGGGTGGGAACAGATCATAAAATACCAGGACAAGATGGGTTGTAATCTAAGATTTGATGCATAGATTCCTTATGTCTCACGAGAACTGTATTTTTTAAGTCAGTAATTGAAAACATAAACAAGCAAAATATATTTATGGTGAGAACAGAGTTGTTCAGATAGTTACTGATAAGAGATCACATTTCAAAGCAGCTGGTAAATCCCCTCAATTCATGCATGCTTTTAAATAAACATATTTATGGTGATTTCTGATTCCTTGATGACCAGCCCGTCTAATTAATTAAACAACAAAATAACTCAAACCGTATCAAGAAATGAAAGAGATTATGTCAATATATGAGAAGCATTTCTGACAGAATATAAATTGCTATGAAATTTATATTCACATCACTTCAGAAGAATAAAAAGGAGCAAAGTGATAAAAGAAAACGCCAAGATAAGATAACAAACCCCAAAGGAATTCCTTGTTGCGAATGTGCAGATAAGGAAAAGCCTGAAAAGCAAAAGATTTCAACATGATTAAATGAAAAGTATCCATTTAATCATCATATAATCGATCACGGCTCGAGGGGGGAAAACAAAGGGAAGAGATTGGAGAACGGTACTGGGGGTTCTTCGCCGTGATGATGACCCTCGGAGAGGTTATAGATCGAGAGCATACGTTATCTTCTCCCATTTCGCGGTCTCGTCTGCAAGGATCACAACAACTAAGCATAAATTACGACACCGAAACACAAAAAGAGAAACAAATCCCCAGCTCACGACGGTGGTCAAACAGATCAAAACCTAATCGAAACGGAAAGAGAAAACGAGAGAGTGACAACGCTACGGGCGTCATCGTGAGCGGAGGCTGAGAAGCTCCGCTAGGTTGGGGCGACGGCGCGTCCATTCGCTCCTCGGCGAGGAAGAAGCGAAGCCGATCGGAGGCCGAATCTCGCGCCATGGTTGGTTGCGAGGTATAAGCCAACGGGTTATCTTTATCCTTTGCAAAAACCCGAATCCGCTATCCGAACCCAAACCCGACCCGAATACGATGGACGAAATGATATCTCAGCCATGTCACAGGATAGCAATCATACCCGTATGTGATTCAAGACTACGACTGGGGCCCATTTAGCAACACAGGTAACGTAGACGTAGAACCGTGACTCGCTGTGTTTGGTGTCAACTATAGACAGCATTTTGTATTATTTCATTAATGTGTTATCTTACGTTCATATTATCTAAATATATAATGGTTCATTTTTATTTTATTTTTAAGGCATTAGATTATTTGATACGTATATTATTTTATATTCTAATAATTGTATTAAGTCTATCAATCCTTATAAGTCGGATGAACAGTTTATTGAATGGTTAGGGATGGATAAATAATTTATTTTGATATGACTGGAAGCCTCTTAATTAGCCCTATAAGGTTAATTTGATACATCAGAATTTTGATTCCTTTATGTCAATTAATACAAATCTACAATTATGTTTAGTAAATATTATGACCGACGTTAGAACATTACGATTTTATTATTGTCTTACGATCAGCTGAAATTATTTTGTTGGTTCTTTTTTTTTTTACATAACTTCAAGTTTTTTTAATTATTTTAATTTTCATGAATAAGTCTACACAACAATAATAAAATCGTAAGTCTTAACTATTTAGGGTTTCATGAATAAATCTCTTATTACAAAAAAAATTACTTCGAGTTCATTAGCCTCCATCAGAAAGTAAACAAGCTGACATCTTCCATAAGGTACAGTCAAAGAAACAAAATTAATTTCAAAGACTAAATCCATACATTAATAATTATTTAGTTGATACTATTAGTAGATACATAATGTCTAACCTAAAGCTATACTGAGAAAAAGTGATGCTTTACTGAAATGAAGAAGTGGTCTTACAAAATGGATTTCAAAGCAGTCTTGTGATTGTATTATTCTCATCTTTTGTGCATTCTTCCTTCCTATGTATTGGTTAGAAGATTAGAGTTTGACAAACTCTGCATTGGTAGAAAACTCATGAATTAGTCATTCATTTATATTAATAGAATAAAATGTAATCTTCATTACAATGAGAAATATGATAATTCTTTTTTTATCATCTAATTTATTGACTTAAATACCTTATCATTGATGATAATTTTTTCTATCGAAAAAACTGATATGTAGGATATGAAAATAGAGATGGATGGAAGATTAATCTCACATTGCTAATATTTAAAATAGTTGAATGGAATGTAATAAATTTGACTCAACTAAACAGCTCAGATTTTTTAAATACATATGATGTCAAGTAACATGAATGTTAACCTTATCAATTCCACTCAAAATCAAATTATAAATCCCTGAATAAAAAAAAATTCAACATAGGAGTAAAACCAATTAATTAATTTTTATCTAAATTAGCCAAAATTAAGAAGATGTCATTCTGAATCCAAGAAATGCTTTGAGTTGCTGTCAGTGGCTGAACTGGGGTTTTATTGTGCAGACAATAAGTTCTGTCAAGTGATCATGTCTATGAGATTGGATTAATACTTTTGGCTGCATCTGTCTGATTAGAGCATGTACTGGGAAAAATCTTTCTCTAAACCTTGATAGTGCTGCAAAACTATTAGCCTTCTTGTAATGGTTTGGAATCAAAGAAAATGGATTCTGATGTTCCTTGACAAGCCTGCTATCAGGAAAGTTTGATTGGGTTACCACAAATCCCAAAAGCTTAAGCTATTAGAAGAGCACCAAAACTCTACTAAACTTTTAACATCATATTCTCTATGATTGTGAGGATTATTGATACCATTTGTGTTTTCTTTATATATCTTGCAAAGTGTACAGTTTATAAATTTAGCAGTGGCACCACAAACTCCTTTTTGTTTTGCATGTACAATTTGCATAGGTTTTTGTTTGAGCAAAAAAGAAGCAAAATGTCTTCAGATTTAGGAGTCCTTCTCACCATCAGAAATATAAAATATCAGCAGTAAACATAATGGGGTTACCAAATAGGCTGCAATCTTCAGCAAGTCTTCAGTCTCCTTTGAGATCACACCAATTCTAGACCAGTCCCCACTGTACCTGATCCAGTGCATCACAGTATCAGTTTTGGAAGCAGAATGCTGGATTAACCACAGGAGATTAGATTACAGTAAATGGCAGCTAAAACTTTGTGCAGTGTACAGAGATATGCAGTGAAGGAAACTTATTCTTCCATAGAAAGTGATTACTTGAATTGCTATGTTGAATACAAGATCTTCCTTTTGTATAGGAAGTAGACAACAATTACGGATGGAGGTGTAATCATAAGCACTTGAAACAAGACATAACATAATTTAGGAACACTACACAAATGAGGACAACCCAATCTCTGCCTCTGCTTCTTGATTCATCAACCGGATGTTCTAAACTTGCTGGATACTTGGTCATCATTTTGAGGTTCTCATGTATGTTACCACAGATAATTTGGATACTATACTCTGAATTGCAGACAAGCATTTAGCCTACCATGTTCCAAAAATTCTGTCTTGATGGAGCACATCTATTGGACTTGTGATGGCATTAATTAGCTTGGGTTAATTATATTGATGATTGCAGACATTATTTATATATAAATAAATCTAATTGTTATTGATTGGGAAACTAAAGAAAAAGTATCAATATCCTACAATCAATTAGTTCTATTCAGGGGAAGAAAGAAAAAAGGCAGCAGAAGAAGGAATATATATTGTGAAACATTCCAATTATATTCAGGAAAAGGTCACTTAACCTCATTATCATATCTCACAAGAGCTGCAAGTCTCAAAGCTTTATAATCTTTGGTATGGGAAAATACTTCACAATCAATTTGATATGGAGGAGGAACACAAAAAACATATGCATGCCAAAGATATGTTTTTTTTTTTTCTTCCATCAATCAGTTCATTCACTACAAAGATGTATCAAAAGACAAATTATTTGTCAGGAATCACCAATGAACATAGAGGCTTTGGTGAAGCATTAATCATCATCATTTTCAGTGGAATTCATTATCAATTAGAAAATAATGAAATTTCCTGACACCAACTCTGATTTAAGAGCTCCATAAACTCATCCTTGTTGTACAAGTTGCTCAAGCAAAACACACACCAGTATGAACTACGTTGTTAAGGCTTACCCAGCATCAAGGAATCCCAGTCCAAATAGGACAACAGCAGATCTGGCAAGAACAGCTTTGGATGCCCTCAGGGAGAAGGTTGTTTCTCCTGCTTGGGAGTCTCCTCCAATGTTCTCTTTCTTCGCCCGTGCAGGTTTGAGTAGCCTCCGGTTACTGCTGCATGGGAGCAGGTGGGGAAACCACCTGAAACGAGGGGCAAAGCTCTTCCCCGACACTATCATGCTTCCCTTGTCCTGCAGAGGATCGAGCTCAGCGGTGGGGATCGGCAGACCCGCCGACACAAAAGAACGCGAGCAGCCACTCAAGACTCGGATAACGTTTCGGTACGTGTTGTGTTCTTTTGGTGCTTCCAGAAACAAGACGCAGAAGTGTTTTTTGTTTTTTGTTTTTGTTTCCATGAACAAAGTTAATTACCCACGACTTATATATATATATATATATATATATATATATATATATATATATATATTCTATTAAAATATAAAATTTATATCTTAAAAAAAAAATTGAAGTGATAACGATGAAGTTCAAACCAAAAACGTTTCGATGATTTGTTAAGAGTCTTTCTCAACTAAGCTAGTCAGTACTATATCAGATGTTTCGATCCCTTAATTTTCGATAAGTAGATTTGATAATAAAATATATTATAGATAATATTATAAAAACTATTTTTATAGTACAATAAAAAGAAATGACAAAGATAAAGAGAAATGAATATAATAATATTTTTCTCTTTTTCATCTTGATAATGAGAAATACTTCAATACATTTGGGATAAAAAATCAAATATTTTGATAAACAAATAAAGATCTTAATTGCCACGATCCTGAACAAAAATCTTTATGCTGATAGCTATGAAAGATCAAATTCTTTGCATTACAACACTCATGCATTAATCTCAAATGTTATTGCCAATGAATGTTTGGATTCAAAAATTGTATCATCAGTATTTTCTACTAGTGATTGGCACTAACACCAATCAACCAACAAAATTCTCAACAGCACTATCATGAACTAATTGTCGTTTTTCATTTTTAAGCGCAACTCACACTTGCATCAGAATTTAATTTATTTTGTCCTCGAAATATAACATTAGAATTTATATCTCGCAATGTATGGATTGGATCTAAATTATATTGAGGTTTCAGCATCTATCTCGAAATATCCCAATTAATCTCATGTCAAAAATAGGTATATTAATGTTATTCCATAAATTTTGGATAGTATAATCATGTGTACCAATTATGAGTTTTCCATTGATTACTAATTCATCAATTTTATTTGACCTAAATCATTAATCAAAATATTTAAACTAAAATTAATAATTATATATTTATCAAACATTTATAAGTCAATCTTAGTCTTATCTATTTTTATCTATTTTGGACGTGAGACTAATCATGTTGTTATAATGATGATTACTTTTGATAGCTGTAGGAGTTTTACAATGCAAAGCATGCAAATAGGAAATAGAAAAAGCTTAAAGGGATTGGATGCAAAATATTTGGATCTGTTTAGAGGTAATAACAAAGATAAGAGTAACAAAGTTCTTGTTTTTGGATAGCAATAGTAGTAGCTTAAATATCCCAAATTGGTAGAGAATGGTCCAAGTAGAGACATATTTGGGAGTTTCTCTAGCAAATTCTTACAATATCACAAGACAATAATTGCAGGTGCATGTGACGAATTACTGTGTCGAAGGCACAGGATGTGAAGTTCTACATGTATGTGAGCTGCAACATACAGATTCATAGTGGTGTACATATGTATATGTTGGATATCCCATATATGGTTCCAAGGTGTGTAACTCCATGATGCAGTAAGCTCTAAGTAGAACCAATGGAAGGAAAAGAGAGGAGTTCATAGATGTTCATGAAAAATCCACCTTTGAATCATAGCCAAGCATTGCTTTGGCCTGTACTCTGGAGCTGTGTGACCACCACCCTACACAAAATAAATATATAAATCACCAAAAAATAAAGAGCAAGACGGATATGCATGCAACATAACCTCCCTATTTATCTTAAATTTGTTCTCCTAGCCCAAAAAACAAAAAAATTATGGTTTTGATTAACTCGCCTTCACAGTAGCAAATGTCAAATTGTTGGCATATTTCATTGTATACCTAGTAAACAAAGATCATGGTAATCAGAATGAGAATGTAGCGGTATTGTTATAGGAGAAATCTTTGAACCACAACATCTTTGACACTGTCACAAAGCTCACCCAGCAACTTGGCCTTCTACATGCCAAGATCTCCAATCATCCACAAGCGAGAAGTTGAGAGATTTTATCCATGCCATTGTGCCCACAAATGGTATGTAGAGGTCGTGATCACCGCTGTATGTGAAGATGCCACAAGAAACAGTGAGATGCTGTTAAGTGCAACATCACATTTGCATTGATCGGTATCAACACTGTATTAAGTATTACCTGTACACCAAAGCACGGAAGCCTCTGGTTGTAAGGTTGAGATGATACTCTAAGTTACTTTTGAGTCCATTTGCATATGGCAAATCACTGTTGCACCTCTGCCATTCTTCGACTGTTCCCTGCATCATCATCAATTTTTTAGTCTTATGTTTAAGCAGAAGAATGAGTTAATATTGGAGAAATCAGGATAGCATAAAGCTGCGGCTGCTGCCCTAGATATTTTACTCCTTGTTAAGGGATGAGTACTTAAGTCTATTATTGATAGGGGAAATATTCTCAACCAATAACAGTACGTGGCTGCTTGATTGACATAAATAAGACAAAGCCTGCCCCTTTGGTCCGCCCACGTAGACATAAGTCCAGAAGAGACGGTTTTGGATTGTTCCCTCAAAAAATATTATATTTGATATTCCCCTCCTTTTTACCTAGTACAAAAAGCTATCTTCGGCATAATAATCGAGGTAGAAAACCTTTTTACTATTTTCACCCATCCACCTCGGGTCTCACTTGAGTGCCAGAGGGATCAAGTCGGGAAATCCACACCTGAACTCAGTCTTTGTGCAAGTCATCCACATGAGCACATCCACCTCAAGTCAAGAGAATTCCATAGATCCCTTGGTGGCCACCTCATCACTCTTATGCACACGGACCTGAACCACATAAGGTTGACTTAGACATCACCGATTTTTCTCCTAACAATTACTAAACCCGAAGCTGCTGCCCCTATGAAGTTTATTCCTTTTGCCTGGCTAGGTGCCAAAACTGGATTTTGCATTTAGGGACTGCAATGCATTCAAGTTCTACAAGAGAAGCATTCTTTCTGTTTGCAGAATCTACTCTGGCCCAGGTGGCCTTCTTGACTGTCTCTCAACTTGGAAAGTTGTCCATTGTTCCTAAGCAGCTTTCAAGTTTAGTTGTTTGTACTCTGTAGCTATATGGATGCAAATTTGGTTGGGAAGAAACAATTTGGTGTTCACAATAGGACTTGCAGTAATGTCAATTTGCACAGCTCCCGGTCAACTAATCAAGTTTATTACAGAAAGAAGAAATCTTTTTTGTTGCTTAAATTAACCGGGCATGATACTTGCTCCTCTTGTTTTCTTTCTTTTTATCTCTATTCTCTCTTTCCTTTTTCTCTTTTGTAATTCCTACTATGTTTTTTATAATAAAAACTATTAGGTTGTTCCACTAATTTTTTATAATAGATCTTTCTTTTTCTCTGCATCTTCGTTCTCCCTTTTTTTTTGAACTTTTGAGAAGCTTTATTCTCCAGTGTGTTATCCTCCTCATGTCCTTACATAGAAATGCAATAATCTTACAGTAATAGCTTCAATGTGGCACATTTTTTTTCCATTCTCATTTTATATATTTAAAGAACTAATTTACTTCTGGTAATAAAAAAGAATTTCAATCAAGAATGCATTTGAACCAAGCCATTGCTCAATCTTCTGAAACTTTCTTGTTCTCATTATATATATGAAGGGTTTGGAAGAGCATACCTTCTTGATATGGAGAGCCTGTCTCACAGCATTGCTATTTGCCCAATAGTAGGACAGAAAATAAGCATAACCCTGCAATAAGAGATTGTTGATGTGTAAGCAAAAAGGCTTGAAGATATAAGAAAAGCAAAAAAATTATTAGACGTATGGCAGATGTGTGTTCATATGAAGGATGACTATCTACATCCAAGTGATTGCTAATATGTGCAAGCTTTCATCAATGTGAAAAAGCTGTTAGTACATTAATGGGCTGCACAGCACTCTCAAGTGCACAGGCTATGAATGAGTGATAAAACCCTAAGACTTTATTTAAGAAAATAAATAGGGATTTGATCGCTTCGAGGGGATCAACCTCCAAGTTGACCAAAGGCTTTGAGTTATATGTAATTACTTGAGAAAATTAACCAAAGGCATTACATATATATAGAGTGATTAATCCTTAGCCAACTAGGACTGGGATTTCTAACAAAAATAAAAATAACAATTCCTAATTTGCTATATCAAAGGACTTCTAACATAATTAGGAAAAACTAAATAGGACATTAAAAATTAATATCAAATCCCTAAAATTAAAGACTCCTAAAATTAAGGAATCCTAACAATGAGAGAGAAACAGACTTGAGTTGGAGGACTAGTACTCACTCTGCAGTTTAGCTCAGGAACAGGTGGTGGCTTAAGTAGATCCATATTCTCCTTCAGGGATCTTCTATCTAGAATCATATCCTTTCGCTTTGGTGATGCCAAAGCACATTTTGGTTCCAAAATATGATTCTCATAGATCTCTGAACAAAACTGCCGGCAGAATACACCAATTTAACATAATTTTTGCCATTCAAACAATTAAGGTACATAAAAAACCTCACGTTCTCAAAAGTCTCAAGACACGATGCACATTGCACAGTGGTTGGATTTCGATGGTCTTGCCCTTTGCAACTTCTTTGTATCATCTGAAAAGAAACAATTTGCTGTAAGATGTTTCTCTTGAACATTTACATCTGGCTTGTGCCTAATCAGAGTGAGATTACCTCAAAGACACCATCTGATATAATTCCCACACCATGAGCATAAGGCACTCGAGAATTCTCATCAAAATTTTCACCTGTGACTGGGTTGCCAATTAGGTAACCCTGAAAGTGGCCAAATAAGAGAGTTGTTACTAAAATCTTTTGTTCCTCCTTTCTTTCTGAACAAAAAAGTAAGAAGGACACCATGAAAGGGTATGAAAGCAGCTACAGCAGCAAGACCATATATGTCCAGAATTTGTGAATTAATGAATCTGCTCTCGAGCAAAACCATCGTTCAATGTGCAATGAGTAATGGCTATGCTTTCAAAAATTAATTAGGATTCTGTACATTCCCTGAGAAACTAGAAAAGATGATTGAAATGGAAAAGAACATTAATGAATTATGTAAGTTACAGAATTCTTCTGAAATGAAACCTCATTTAGTTAAAGTTTCATTCAGCGATATATTCATATCCCTTTAAAAGCTAAAACAATGATCAATAAAGAAAAAACAGCAATTTTTGTAGACCAATGCAAAGAAAATTACCTTAAGATTTAGTTGCTTGTTTCCAACTTTGGTACCTGGGTTTTAAGAGGATTGCATCAGTAAAGCATAATTAACTTTCAGACATTCATTCACAGATCACACTTCTACACACTCAGCCACCCACATGCTTACCTGAGCGCTTGCAAACACACATAGAGACATTGTCCTTTAGTTATGTTCTTGTAGGCATACATATATGTCTTCATCGATTGCTCTATGTCCATAGCAATGTATTAAATCTTTTACGGTTAAATATCATTTACAAAGTAAGCCAGTTTTACCTTAGAAATTATACCACTGTATACAAGGTTTTGAGACCAATAAATAGATCAACTGTGTGAGATGACAGATACGATAAATTTTATGTAACTATTTAGATCTAGATAGGTATTGGCTAGAGTTTGCTCATCCAAATTAGCAGGAAATCTCTTCACTTTGCTTGACGTGAAAAGATAAAAAGTGAAATGACAACCTATAAAATAAATGATGCATTATTATCTTGTGCTTGGTTTCGATACTTTTTTTAATAATAAATTTGAAATTCCCTTTCATTTTGACAAAAATCTTGTCGCCTCTTGTCTCATCTGTGGATTAGTTTGGTCTAACATGACTTGGAGTTCTCTCACAAATGGACTGATATAACAAAATCTTAAATCTTTCTTTTACTGAAGCTAGTTTTCATCCTAGATGCCTATCCACTTTAGGAAACAGAAGTTATGAGAAGATTGCAGAAAAGCTATTTCAGAGAAGCTATTCAATGGATTTCATTTATTCGAATACCACAGACTTGCCCAAGCTTGTGCTATGAAAACAAACTTCTTATTCCAGAAAAACTGCAGACAAGAAGTTGAATTGAAGTTACCTTCGGATACGAGGTGAGCGACGATGGGAACAATCTTTCCACCATATGAATCTCCGGATATGTAGAGAGGGTTGGAGAGGAACTGCGGGTGATCAATAAACCACTACACAAAGAATTTGGGGTATAATTGTAAGGCAACACAATTTTTTTCTAAAATCTGAATTGTGTTCAGAATACACTCAGGAATCAGGATATGAATCAAATAATTAATCATCTCACCTTTATGAGAAACTTATAAACATGTTCCGACCAAGACATGTCATTGGCATTATAACCTTCGTAACGACGTGAAAATGAGAACCCTGACCCAACCGGAGAGTCTAGAAAGATCATGTTGGCAACCTGAACATGGTTTTGCAGCAAAAAGAGATTTACATAAGTGAATACAGAGAAATGAGTAGTAGCAGAGTACATCACAAAGAAAATAATGATATACAAATCTAGAAACATAAAACAATTCTTCTAAATAAACAAAGACGATAACCATATTCGAAAAGACAAGCAGAATCACATCTGATATACCAAGAAAAGGCATTTCTCACCTTTGTCCAAGAATACGGATGATATACCAAGTTTGGCAAGCTTCCATTGTACTCCGCAGGTACAAACTTCAGAGGACCTATGTTCGACACATGATGAACTTAGCACACGTATCTAATCTTTCAACAAGTTGCAGCCTGAACTTAGTAACAATACAATAAAAGGTAGCATAAAATGCTAAAATATGGTGAGAACAATGGGAAATATAAATAGGACAACTTAGAACAATGATGAAATGTTATCTGAAAATATGGCCTCGATAATGCTTTTCATATGAACATATAGCTCTCCGAGTTAAAAGAATAGAACTCAGATGTTAAGGGTTTAGGGGTTAACATGGGACTTATCACACTAGCGTTTCACCTTTCTTCCTTCGTTCCGACCATCCATGGTGATGCGTAAGCTTAATCGATCCTCTCAATCTGTTAAGTTTAGCCTAATTGGTGCCAAATTCTTTTTTGAAGATCTATTATCTGACCCTGTTCATGAGAATAATGAATGATGAACAACCGCAATGAACATGTCACATTGATTCGTCCAGTAAATGTCCATTTATTTCGTTCAGCTCTGAGAAGGTGGAGGTAAAGAGGAGAACTTGTGAGATGAGGCTACGAAACGTCAGACGCACCAACTTCGAAGACCAATCCACTCAGGGCAGAGCACCTGGGGCCGCCGTTGAGCCAAAGGAGGAGGGGGTCCTCGCTCGGCCGGCCCTCCGACGGGATGAAGTAGTAGAAGAGCTCCGCGCCGTTCACCTCGTCCACTTCCACGTACCTACAGCAGCAAGAAGCAGCACAGCATTCATGGAGACCGATCGCATACAGCTACGTGCCGGTGAGGAAGAGGCAGATAACAGAGTCGGTCGTACCCTGTCTCCAAATGGAAGGGAAGGGGGCCGCGGAATCCGGGCAGGTGGGTGACGGTGGAAGCGGAGAGAGCAGGCGAGGGCGCAGAGAGGACCACGGCGAGGAGGAAGAGGAACAGTTCTGCAACCGCAAGCCATGTTGGTTGTGGCTCACGGGATCGATGGCCGAGGCGGGCAGAGCTCGCCATTCTTCCGGACTGATTTGCTCAAAGCGGCCAACACCATGGCGATATATAGGCCCTGGACATGTGGCGCGGGACCCGTTCGTGACCCACCTACGTGTGTCCACCTCAAAACGTGCAAAAGACCACGTCCGTTCGTGGCCGAAGCTAATCCACATGACGTGGGTGCTCTCCATCCACCTCGCTCGTCCACAGGGAATTGAAACCTGCGGCCTTCCTTGCTCGTGCAATCTTAACTCCAACCATGGCAGTCACTCCCCTGTCTTAGCAAGCTGACAGTTCCATTACCCCATTCATGGCTCTCAAAATTGGAGCTCTGTCTACAATGAACAGGCAATTTCCCAGCTCTGCTGCAGCTTCACTTGTTCTTCCAAGACCTGTCACCAAGTCAGCGTACAGAAATGACATCGGAAGAAGAGGGCTATTGACCTTGCTCATATCCACAGCAACTGTTCCTGAAGTCACAGATCCAAAGAAGGCTCTTCTCCAAGGTATCGCTCATGCTTGTTTGCATCTATCTTTCAAGCTCTCACTGATCCATTGTGTCTGTTGCCAGAGTACCTGAAGAGATCCAAGGAGAACAAGGCCAAGAATGACAAAGAGGTTATCCTTTTCATCCCTTGCTTACACACTGCAAACAAGATTTTAGGTTTCAGAAATCTATGAGCTGGGAGTTGATAGGTTTCCGTTTTCTCAGAGGCTGGATGACTACTACAAGAGGAACTACAAGGATTACTTCGAGTTCATAGAAGGTTCATTGAAAGACAAGAACGAGGAGCTGTTATCTGAGTCAGAGAAAGACATAATCAAGTGGCTTCAGAAGAACAGGAAATGAAATGCTGGTTAATCAGTATCAGTGATGCAAACTCTGAATTCAATGGTTAAATTCCTTGCAACGTATGCTAATTATAATGAACGCCTACTCTTGTACTGTGCATTTAGTCAATGATCAGAATGCAGTGATTTTTCCTGAACTATATGTTAAATTACTTCAATATAAACAGATGATTCCTTCCTCTTAAGTATTTGAACCACTAAATCATGTGAGTGTCATGTGGATTGGTCAAATCCATCTCAGTTTTGTGACCCCAAATCTGATTCATTGAGATCTGTTCATGTATTCTTTGTTTATTGAACCCCAATTGTGGGTTCATTGACACTCTGATCATTGATGTAACTAAGTAGAGGAGAGGAGTCTGTCAGATGAAGACGCAGAGAAGAGTGTTCTCTTAAAGGTTTGTGTAAGTGCAAGTGTTGCATATTAGATCAAGTCATTAGTGTTTGGCTTTGACTTCTATGTTGGCAGATATTATAAGTCAAAGTATGCTATCAGTGTTTGGCTTTGACTTACAGAACGTGGCCTTAGAGTGAATTGCAAGTCAAAATTAGAATTTGACGTCGGATTTGTCTCTCGTGTCACACGTTGGATTTGTGTCGAGCTGATACTTAGGAAGGATAAAAAGCCTCGGCAGTCGAAGTCGACTTTGCACCCAAATCACTTCACCTCCTCCGTTCTTCTCGGGCTGATCATGTTGGAGATGTGACATTAAATGACTTCAAATGCAACAACACCATATAATAATGCCACTCCATTTTTTCTTCCTTCGCATGCCCACAGTTCACATCGATTGTGTGCCATTAACCCACCCACTCTTCTTCTTCTTCTTCAAACTACATATAGTATATACAAATGATCTCTCTCTGTGATGCCGCGTTGATCTCTTGCACCTCTTCTTTAATCGAGTCAGTGTGCCACTGGATCCAACCTTGCCGAGCTCCCTCCTCATTTCACCTCGATGAAGAACAGCAGCAGCCGCCCAACTCAAAGCTCCATGGAGATCCAGATCCATTGCCCCGCCCCTGCAACGAAGCTGCCGCGCAAGGTCTGTGCACCCGAGGAAGTCACCCTCCTGCTCAGGATCTTAGCTCTACTGCTTCTTCTCCTCGTCGTCATGTCCATCGCTACCACCTCCATGGACGACGAGCGGTTGCGGTCCTGGAGGTTCAGACCGCGCGAGGACGACGACGACTCCATGGCTTATCAGCCACCGGCCGACCTGATGCACAACATGAGCGACGGTGAGCTGTTCCAGCGTGCAATGGACGTCAGCCAGTTGAGCCGGCACCGTCTCGGAATGGTTCCCAAGATCGCCTTCATGTTCTTGACCAAGGGAGCTTTGCCGCTGTCGCCGCTCTGGGAGAAGTATTTTGCCGGTCACAGTGGACTCTACTCCATCTACATACATCCCCGTCCGTCGTATCACGCCGACAACGCGTCGAGTTCCGTGTTCTACAGGCGGCAGATCCCGAGTAAGGTATCGAATCCTTCGATGACCAGTGGCTTCCCCTGTTCATGTCCTCGTCATGTTAACGATCTCAGCGTCCAATCTGCAGGTGGTGAACTGGGGGAGTCTGTCCCTGGTGGACGCTGAGAGACGACTCCTCGCGAACGCGTTGCTCGACCTCTCGAACGAGCGATTCGTGCTGCTGTCGGAGTCCTGCATCCCGCTCTTCAACTTCAGCTTCACCTACCAGCACCTGATGAGCTCCAGGTACAGCTTCGTGGACGCCTTCGACGAGCCCGGCCCGGCGGCAAGGGGGCGATACCAGCCGAAGCTGGCGCCGGAGATCAACGTGACGGAGTGGCGCAAGGGCGCGCAGTGGTTCGAAGCGAGCCGCCAGGTGGCCGTGATCGTCGTCAACGAGACCCACTACTACGCCAAGTTCGACGAGCTCCGCGACGTGATGTACCTCCAGGACGAGCACTACATGATAGGAAGAATCGGGAGCTACTGGGAGCTCCGCTTCGGTGAACAACACGACGGTAAGAAGGGCTATGGATTCAAGGAGTGAAGGCCATGGTACCGCAGAGGCGGGTCTTCCGGGCGTGCACCGAATTTTGCATCGGATGAAAACCTTGGTCATCAGCATATGGGGGCTGGGTTCCACCAAGGGAAAAGTTCGAATGCAAGTACCAGTGGGTCCCATGGGAGGG